TAAAAAATACCCAGCTCAGAATCTTCCCTTAAGGATGAAATAAAGTATGTTACAATAAAATAAAAAACTATGTAAGGGCCTAATCCTGTTTCCATTGACTTGTAAATTGTTAAGGGGTCCCCTCTCCACTCTAAAGCTTTTGTTTTGCAGTGACCACAGGCATAGATCCAGTTACTCAAAAGTGGTTAAAGTGTCTCCCGTTGAAATCAATTGGCCTTAGGTATCTAAATACCTGCTGAAGAGCTGGGTTCCAGTTTTTCTATGGTAGAGGTCTAATTTTCCCCCCTGTAGTGTGGATAGGACCCCTTACCATATTTGTATAATGGATTAGATTGGCCATCCTCCCTCCCAGCTCTCTGAGAATCTCAGAGCACATTATATTGATGCTGGTTCTGTATGTACTGCCACTCTGTGGGCTGGTGTACCTCTGTGTGCATACACTGTAGTACATACATTTGCCTTTAAACACCTGTTTAGGTAGGTTACTCTTATTTAAGACTAACTGGCAGTATAAATTACATTAATTGCAAGGCAAATGATATTTACCATCTTTTTAACTGCTATTATCCATACCAGAGGGTATGTCTAGACTAGATGCCTCTGCCGACAGAGGCATGTAAATTAGACATACCGACATAGTCAATGAAGCGGGGATTTAAATATCCCCCACTTCATGAGAATAAAAATGGCCGCTGCATTGTGCCGGCTCAGCTGTTTGTCGGCACATACCGGCAGTCAAGACGGGGATCAGTCGACAAGGAAAGCCTTTGCTGACAGATCCCTTATGCCTTTTTTCAAAAAAACTTCACCTGCGTATAGACTGCTGTTGTGTTCTTTCAAAATTAAATCGAAAGAATGCAGTGGTTTTTTCGACAGCGATAAACCTCATTTTACGAGGAAGAATACCTTTTTTCGAAAAAAAGCGTTCATGAACACAAGCAAGGCTTTTTTGAAAATCTGTAGATATCTAGACTATCTCTTTCGAAAGAGGCTTGTAGTCTAGACGTACCCTTACAGACAACACTCTACAGAACCCTTTAGCAATAATGGAACCTTTCACAGACCACTTCTTCACAGAATAGTTAGTTTACCACTGATGTACTATTGATTTTTGTCTTCATTGTCAAGAAAAGGAAATAAGAAGGTGTCATAGCTACGATACCTAACTGGCTTTCAACCTCTCCTTTCTGCAGAAGGCTAAGGAAGCCATTAATCCCCAGATTCCTCAATGAGGCTATAAGCCTTACTTACAAATATGGGCCTGGCTCAGAATTAATATTTTCTTACAAACTTCGATTTCATCAGAATTCTGATCTCAGAAACAGTTCCTGTGTCACTATGTTTTTTCTGTCTTGTCTCTGAAGTTGATAAATAATTACAGCTCTGAGCATGATCACCCATCTGTCCAAGGTTGTGAGCCACATGAGAGCTATTAAGATCAAATCCTCCTGGCACTAGCCTAGAAAGTCTTCTGGGACAGTGTTAACTAGGTAGCCACATAAGCAGCATGCACCACCAAAGTTTATTGGTCAAGCAATAGTCATACCCGTTTTCAGATCATTAGGGTACAATTAGTAACCACAACAAGCCAATATTATCTTAATATGAGAAAGAGTGGCAGAATTGCTTACCAATTTAAAAAAAAATCTTTGTTTAAACTGACAAAAGGCAATATTCTAGAGGATTGGAAGGTGAATTTTTACAGCTACACATCTAAGGATTTTCTATTAAAGAAGATCCATTCCTATTAAAACTGTAATTTTAACAAAGAAAAAGTTTATAACTCTGATTATTCCTCTTGTCCTCACACACAATTTTTTTTCAGAAGTTAGTTAGGTATGACAGGAGTTATTTATAAAACCATTATAAAGCCATTCATCTGAAGAAGTGGGTTATGCCCACAAAAGCTCATGATACCATCTACATGTTTTGTTAGTCTCTAAGATGCTGCAAGAGTATTTGTTGTTTTTTAAGTTTTTCCAGTTACATACTAATTCAGCTACCCCTTTGAAGGAATTATTTGTCAGTTGTATGCTGCTGAGTCATCCTTACTTGCAAAAAATTAGCTTTACTCCCTCAGCTGTTAAAAATGCAGTACAACAGTACTGTAAATATTGTCTACTTCTCAAAATCAAAAAAGCTTGGACAACTCTGAAGCCACTTTAACTCAGTTTAGATGTATAACTTCATTACTTTCAGTTTTGTTTGCACTGAAGCTGAACAATTTATAGCTCTTCACCATTGCTAGCATTTGGGGCATTTTTTTTTCTAATGAAGAGAAGTTATTTCCACAGGTTGCAAGTCATTCTGCAGTGTAGCTCATCTTCCTGCTTTGATTTCTTCTACCTGACAAACTTGTGATTCAGAACATTTTATGTATTTTAGAAATATAATATAGTTAGAAACCATATAGTCAGTACACATGATACTGTCTGGAGGTCGAATGTGAATGACATAAAGAAGGAAGAGAGACCCTCTAAGGTGATTATTCCCAAAATTGAAGACACATAGTGTTAAATAACTGCCTACACATCTCTGCACTAATTAATCTTCTGAAAAAAAAATATAATTAAACAGAATATACCTTATATAGGATCCTATTCCTAATTTAATTTTTTTTGATTTTCTCTTGCCACATGCTGTTAGGGCTGTCTTCTTTAGCTAGAAATAATTTTAAAATGGCTGCTGGGAATCTGCATTGTATGCTTAAACTTGTAGGTACAATAAAAAAGAATAAGACTTTATTAGAATAAATTGTATGTCCATTCCAAATTAATCTTCTTTTACTTTAATAACAATTCCTAAAGGATAAACAGCAGGAACTTATACATACAAAAGATTTGCTCTTGTTTCTCTACTACTGAAGTGCTGATAAATTGTCGTAGGGTCTGATCCTTCAAAAACTTTCACATATGCTTAAATTTATGTATTAAGTAGTCCCACAGAAGTCAATGATACAACTACCACTGTGTAAAGTGAAGTGCATGTATAAGTCTCTGTAGGATCAGGACTAAGCATATCTGAATGGGAAGTCTACATTTTTCTACTATGCATGTATTTTATGACTGCTTATATTGCCATATACAAATAGAATCTTGGCACAAGTAGCAAACACCACTGAAATATGGAATTAAGAACTAAGAAGCTACAGACCTGAGTTTTTATTTTGGAGCGGCTCTTTTAAAATAATATTGGCACTTTCACTCCTTATGGACTCACTCCTGCTCTTTTTGAAATCACAGGGACTTCTGCAAAACCTAAACATTAAAATGTAAGTGCCCATTTTATTAGAAAAGAAATATAAAATTACAAACTATAACATTTTCAGAAGAATAATTCAACATTCTAAAAAGCTCATATACGAAGGATTTTCCATCCTTTAATACGCTGTATATTGAACATTGTACAGCAAGTTAAACATGACTGTTGAAACAAGTACCTGAAAGAGATGCTTATTTTTGGACTGTGTGGATGTTCTGAGGCAACCACTAAAAGCAAAATGAAATTCCTCATCCAGAGTCCAAAAAGGTAGGGAGACCCTAAAAATGTAGCAGAAGCATTTCCGCACACTGATTTCAAAAGTCGAGTTTGTGCAGAAATGATTCCACTAGATTCATAGAGTTCATTTTTGAGGTAATGGCAATTTGTCATTTCATCATCTTTTTGACCTTCTCCAGCTCCTCTATGGATTTCCACTCCTGGTTGATTGTTACCAGCTAAAAAATAAAAAGAACAATACAAAGAGCAAATTATTAAAAACCAAACAGTTATCTTCTCCAAATAAATCTGGGCTATGTCTATACTACACCCATTTGGCCCAAGAAATAGGCAAATGAGGCAAAACGTGGAATATTGCTGCACCTCATTTGAATAATTAATGAGGCTCCATTTTTGCACAAAAGCCTCTTGTGCAAAAACAGAGCCTAATTAATTATGCAAATTCCACTCTTTGCCTCATTTGCATTTTTTTTGCACAAGAGGGGGCAGTGTAGACAGCCCCAAAGTATCATTGAGCAATATACAATACAGGCAGTCCCCGGGTTACGTACAAGATAGGGACTGTAGGTTTGTTCTTAAGTTGAATCTGTATGTAAGTCGGAACTGGCGTCCAGATTCAGCCGCTGCTGAAACTGATCAGCGGCTGATTCCAGGAAGCCCGGGGCAGGGGCTTCCTGTAGTCAGCC